AGAAAAGAAAAGAAAAGAAAAGAAAAGAAAAGAAAAGAAAAGAAAAGAAAAGAAAAGAAAAGAAAAGAAAAGAAAAGAAAAGAAAAGAAAAGAAAAGAAAAGAAAAGAAAAGAAAAGAAAAGAAAAGAAAAGAAAAGAAAAGAAAAGAAAAGAAAAGAAAAGAAAAGAAAAGAAAAGAAAAGAAAAGAAAAGAAAAGAAAAGAAAAGAGAAAAGAGAAAACTGGGAAAAATGCTCCCTTTTCAAAGCACAAATTAAGCATATTTATTTGTTACTCATACTCTATGCATGCTGTTTGAAACAAAAATAGCACACAGCCCTTTGACAAGCTGTATTTGCACATCAGTGTAACTGAAATATCCTGTCTACTTTAATGACAAGTGAGGGTACTGTCAGTAATATTTTCCATTGTTTTTAAAGCCGGCCACAGTTACACAGAGCAGAGGGTACAGCCGCTCAGCAAGGGCAGGGGAGTTTTACAGAGAAGCCTTTGAACAGTATTTCTATTCAATTTCTGTAGGAATATAAAAGGGCTTACAATTAAATCTGTAAATGCAGTTCTTTGAGGATTTTTACATTCCTATAAGATTCTTACTGAGAAATTACTCTTGAAATAGTACATAAATCTTACAGGACTCCCCTTGGATTACTGCGCTTTAAGTTTTTAAGCAATCTTTCTATAGGTTTATTATTTTATTGCATTTTCTTTAAAGAAGCAGATCTTCAGCACCACCTTTCACAATAAATAAACATTTTAATACCAAGTCTATCTCTTTGACCTGGGTGCAAGACATACCATAAAGATTATATTTTTAAAATTTGGTAAAACTTTGGGGAAAATGATTAAATGTAACAATATCTGTGATATTTCTGGAAGAAATAACAATCTGTGATGTTAACAGAAACAGTGGTTTAAAATTACCGCTCCTTGTCTATAACTTAATATCATTTGGAAAGTGGTAGCACTGTCCTACCAACTATGTCACCGTTCCTTATTCAACTGCTACGCCATACAGCAAATATCAAGTACCACTTAAAAAGTGCTTGGTGCTTGAGAACTGCTTAGAAAAATTAAATGGAAACTTTACGGGCCAAATCTTTCTTGCCCTGATCAGATGACTACTTCCTCTAATTCCAAACAAATCGGTTGCATGAGAGAAGTAAATTAGGGCACATATCTAAAAACGTCCCTATAACTACAATGAATCGGTTTTCTGTCTAAGATGCTTCCAGTATGAGCTCATTATGTTGCAAACTCTGCTTGCATGAAAGTGATCTGTAGCAATCCTTAAGCCTGGGGCCCTTTTCCATTTGGTATTGATACATAGGATGTAATCTGCATTTTTCATTCTGGCGTAAAACAGTACGACCAGTGTAGCTGCAATTCTGCTGTAAATCTGATGCAGGAAATACAACATAGTCCTTCGAAAATATTTCTGTTGGCCTTAGACTGGCTGCAGAGCCTGTTTTGTATGGAAGAAAAAAAGGGGGGGGGAGAATGACCCACTGCAAAATTCAGTTTCTTCCATGGTCAAGGGCATCTATTTCATTATAAATGTAGTTCCGCCAAAACAAATATTATTTTTGAATCTTTCATTATCTTAGTCTCTGGAAATGGGCTAAACCAGCATGTGTTGGTATTAGATGCTGCAGAGCCAGCTGTCGTGCCTGGCTGCACAGTGTCTCAATGTCAGCAGTTCAAAGCACTGCGAGGCTGAAGGGGAGGAAACTTGATAGGTCAGAGGAACCCAATTCCAGGCAAAAAGCACATAGCTGTCTTGTGCGAGTGGGGTTTTTTTCTTTTCATATGTGCACACATATATAGAGATAGATACTTGGACGCCTGTGTTTTAATATATTTTCTTCAGCTCTGTGTTTCCATACTCTGCCGTGACCTCCACCCAGAAGAGGCTCCGGCTTGCTGCGGGTGCTGCCAGCCCGGACGGCGGGCACCGACCAGGATCCCTGTGCCAGGGCAGGGGGAACCCTCAGGGGCAGAGAGCAGCGCAAGGGCCAAACCCGAACCCAAACCCTGCGGTTTCTTGGGATTATTTTATATAT